TTTGGCCCTTGTAATGATCATCTCTGAATTATTAAAAACTCCTTTTACTCTTTGAGTATTTATAAAATAGTGTGATGCTATTTTAGCCAAATCCCTAATTCTATATCTTAAGAGTGGTTATCTTAAGTGTGAGTTTTAGGTTCTAGATATTTAATTAAGTGTGTCATATCTTAATTAAATTCTAGATTCAAACCCCAAGTTAGGATAAGAGTGTGTAATATCTCTTAAACACCAACTTGGTTTATCCATCCCTAAATTTTCTTCCATTTCATATTCCCCCCATTTCTCCTCTTAATCTCATTCTTTTTCTTCATTAAAAAAACACCAAAAGAACTCCCCTTTTGCCTCATAATATTTCAGCCACCCCATTTCCCCCTCACCTCCCCATAATTCCTTCTCTAAAATAGCAACGTGATAAGACCCCGGGTCTCGGGTATAACAATACTATACTAATGTGGAGTTGGGGTAAGGTAAGCGAAGTCCCAAAATTATCTAAGAGGGATTCTAGAAGCCATGGAGAGTCATATGAACTGTTGAAACTGTTATGAGAAGTAGAAGGCAACTGTGCACTCTAAATTGGATCAGGCAAGTTGGGTCATTTTGGATTCGAAACTTCAGGTCATTTTGGATTTGGGTCATTTCAGGTTCAAGTCCACTCAGCCCTAACCCTGAACATGCGACCTCGGGTAGTCGGGTTTACCCTGCGGGTTAAGAGCACATGTGTAATCATATTTTAAATGGCTTCTTTGTTTAGTTCATTTGACTTAAAATTTATAATGTGAATAATACCGATAATAATATTAATAATATGTTACAGAGTATTTCTATTTTCATATTTTTATTTTTGTTTTAGCCTACAAGGCTATTATTTTCATTTACTCTTTGTTTCCTAGCAAACAACTTTGGTTGTTAAGCCTTAATAGGGCTGGCCATTGATCGATGGAAAATCAGAATATTGTTATCCAAGTCACCTTCTCTCTATTTTCTCTCTCTATAACAAAATTACTGCTGTGGCATCCTCGGGGGTCTCGTTCTCCATTCGAGAACCCTCCTCAATCTACAACAATGGTATCAAAGAACTCCATTTGATCCTGATCAAACTCTGGCGAGAACTCGAAAGCAATCCGCACAGAAGGCAAATGCGGAAGAGACTGTGAAGGCCTTGGCAGAGCAGCAGAAAGCATTCTCCGAACGTAGCGCTGAACAGAGCAGGAAAATTGATGAGCAACAACAATTGTTAGGGCAGATTATAAAGCATATGAAAACATTGGTTCAAGGGGCTTCCTCAGATTCAGAATCAACTCTTGGGAGGAATAGGATCCAGGATCATGGTAATAATAGACCTCTACATTTTAATCCAAAGGTTGAATTCCCACAATTTGATGATATACCACGAGAGCTTGGATTAAAAGTGTGTGAAGTACTTTTCATTGTGTCAAATTCCTGATGCTAAAAAGGTGATTTGGCGTCAATGCATATGCATGGTTGGGCCGAGGTCTGGTTTAGTAGTTATTCGCTGAATCGGAATAACATCGCTTGGGAGGACCTTGTGGTAGATGTTATATCTCGGTTTAAGGATGCAATTAGGCCCAAATTATTGGAGGAATTTAACAAATTGCAGCAGATTGGTAATTATAATGATTATATTGATAAATTTTAAGAGTTGAGATCATTGGTATTGATGACGAATCCGCTACTACCCCCTGATCATGCCCTGGACAGTTTCATCTGTGGACTTACACCCCACCTAAAGGCATTTGTGAGAGCATTTAAACCCAGTTCGATTTCATCAGCCATTTATTATGCTAGATGTCAAGAGGAGACAGTTCAGGCCATCAAAATCCAGGATAAGCCCTCAAAACCTTACCCAAACACAAGCCTAAACACAAAAGCCTTATTAACTACCCCTATTAAGCACAATCCTTCTAAAGTTAATACCCCAACCAAATTTATTCCTGCTACTGTGCGGGCTGAGAAAATGGCTAAAGGGTTATGCTATTATTGCGATAAACCCTTCTCTAAGGACCACATGCATTTGAGCAAGGGCGAACAACTGTTTTGGGTGGAAGTAAATGGTGATGATGTTGAGCTAGTGATAGAAGAGGAAAAAGATGAAGGAGAAGGGGGCAATGGGAGTTTGTATGCTTACATCACCCCTCACATTTCTCTGAGTGCTTTGCATGGCAATCAGGGGTTTCAGGCGATGAGTCATTGGATACTACGGTCAGAAACCTATGTTTTGGTTGATCCGGGTAGTAAACACAATGTTCTTGACATTGCTTTGGCTAGAAAGTTGGGATGCAGGTTTGAGGAGATAGCAACGAGGTCAGTAACTGTGGCAGATGGAAAACGACTACAATGCTAGTATGTTGGTAGGGGATTTACTTGGAGGATTCAGAGAACCATGTTCAAATCAGATGTCTTACTGGATTCTTTTTGGAGGATGTGATGCAATCGTAGGAGTGCAGTGGCTAAGCATGCTAGGTACTGTTAAGTGGAATGTTAGCAAACTTGAGATGGAATTCACTTAAAGAGGTTTGTGTCATGTGCTAAGGGGTCTCAAACAACCTGTCATTGTGGTGGGACCTAACAATCTGGCTAAGCCAGTGCAGAACTCCACTCAACTTTGCTTCCTACACTTGGATCTAATGACTACAGCATGGAAGGTGAGGTGCAACCACTGTACTATTCGACCCATGTCCCAGACATTCCCGTCAGATTCCAATTTCTATTGGATGAGTTTCAGGACCTCTTCCAGGAGCCTAAAGAGTTACCTCCTCCTAGGGGGGTGCAAAACCATAGAATTCCTTTAAGGGCAGATGCTCAGCCTGATAATATGCTCCGAACTGGGATCATCAGAGATAGCTGCAGCCCCTTTGCTTTAACTGTGGTCTTGGTGGGAAAGAAAGATAGAAGTTGGCAGTTATGTGCGGGTCACAGAGCACTGAACAAACAGTCAATCAAGGACAAATCCCCTATTCCAGTAAATAGAAGCTGATTGATGAGCTTGCGGGAGCAGCTGTATTCACCAAAATTGAGTTAAGGGTGTGGGATATCATCAAATTCGAGTTCATGTTCAAGGCATACCAAAGACAGCTTTCAAGACACACAATGGCCACTACGAGTTGTCAGTCATACCATTTAAGAAATTGGAAGAATGTGGGGTTAAGGACCAATGGCTTTTTTAAAAAGAAGAGAAAATATGGTCAACATAATTTTTTTCTTCTTCTTAAAAAGAAAGGGAAAACATTCTGGATGGACAAAAAAGGAAAGATGAGAAAAGTCAGTGGGGGGAGAAAGTACCAAGTTTCACTTACCAGTTAAACTATAAAGAATAAATGACGTCAGAGATCCAGCTGTCATTGAGCCATTAATTGTTAAAGTAGCTCCATAGAGTACTACAATAATAACTGATAGAGTTGAAGCTGCATTTAAGCTTCCAGAGAAAAGACCTACCACTCTCTGCATAGGAAAACATCAATAAACGGATGTGATTCTCAGCACCCTGCCAATTACTACGGATTTCTCTTTAAAATAGTGGCTACATTTATATTTTGGAAATTCGCTATTCCCCATTGTGGGCAAGGGGTGAAGTTTAACTGTAACATGGAGGAACTTACAGCCTGACTAAGTCCAAGGTTCAATGTCTCTTCCACTTTCAATGTGTACCGTGATATCTCGTAATCTTCTTGTGCAAATGACCTTACTGTGCGTATTGCCCCAAAAGTTTCCTACACACAAACAGCCACTAAATTTTATTGACTCCACTAGGGAAAAAATTGGTATTGACTTACAGTGACAACTGACAATTATTGCTAATGGCTTGTAAAATGACTAAAAGGGCAACACTTTATAGTTCAGCATAAAAAATTTTCTACACTTAACTATCTAACATATAGTTCCTTTGTCCCCAAAAGAAATCGACACTCTAATTTCTTGGTGTTTAAAAAAGTCAATAAAATTGACACTTTAATTTCATGGATTTCATGAAAAGTCTTGAAAAGTAAAAAGTGTGTTCTTGGGAGTTGGGACTTGTAGAGATGAGAAAATTTTGTGAGCCAAATATTCTTTTCCCTAAAACAAAATGTGAGAAGCGTAAATCATTTTGTGATGTATGCAAAAGAAAAAGGTAAAGTTCTTGGAGGGACAGAGGGAGTATGTGATGATTAAAATTTTAATTTGCATTCTATGGCTAACTAGAAAATCCAATAAAACAGAAAAGCTGGCGCCTGTTGATAAATTCTGAGGAGCAGTGCAGCCTTAATTATGAATTCAGATGTAATTCAACCAATATCAGTGGAACAACAGACCTCAGCAATTGATGAAGCCGCAGCAGCAGCAGCTTGAGTCTTATGGGAAAGTTCACGCATATAGCGGCCAAATTGGCGTACACCGACTGATATAGCTGGAACAACTACTAAAGCCAGCACTGAACCAAAGAAAAGTGAACATGAACATATACTCCCTCCATCCCAAACTGAATTACAATTATTTTTGGGACCTACCTCTCGATATTTTTTGTTTGTTTGTGTACTTTCATTGATTATTTAATAAAATAAAATATTCTTGTGACATCTTGTTTGGTAGAACTTTCAACGTAGTTTTTTAATATGTAAATTTTATTATTTATTCTTACACCAATTTTTAAATAAATTGATTTTAAAAAATGTGGGGCTTTCCCTCGTAAATGGGAAATTGTGATCCAATTTGGGACGGAGAGAGTAGTATTTTAGTATTTTTAACAGAGCGGAAAACAAACTATGCTAATGCTTTGAAGAATCCAAAGCCATAATTACATGTTAATTTCCATGAAGTTGTAAACATGAAACCAAGACCAATAAATGCGGTAGAAAGATTCCTGAGAGCCTCTGAAAGGTTAGTTGTTGCTGCACTTTTTATGATCTGAGTGTCTTCAGAGAGCCTACTAAGGAGCTCCCCAGTGCGAGTCACATCAAAGAAGGCTATCTCCTACATAATAAATTCCTTGAATGAACATTTTCAAATTAAGCCATATCTGAGAGAGAAGTGATAGTAGTATCAATGCAGGAAAAGAAGTCATTACTTGATTAATGAGGTGGCTGAATAAGTTCCTTCTCAAGCGAGCAACAACCCTTTCACTAGAAGAAGAGAACAGCCATGCACGAAGTGCTGTGCAGATTGAACTGAAAGAAGCAAAATGTCGTTAACTCCTTTAGCTCAATATTATTCAAAGTGGACCTGTTGATGACATGGTCTAAGATGAACCACTCTATTTATCATGAGCTCAGAATTTAAGTAAAGACTAAAGAGCAATTACTTTTATTTATTATAAAAAATAGCATAATAAGTGATAATATTACTTTTCAAACACCCTTTATATGTGTTTAAATAACATTTTACACTACAAGAAAACGCGAAAAAAACGACGGATTATAGCGACGGAATGCAATTTGACGCTAACGACGACGGATTCAGCGACGGAATTTTACGCCTACCAAAATTAACGACGGAATCAGTATTCCGTCGCTCTGTATTTGCGGGGGGGTAGTGCGCGGCATATTAGACGGCGGAAATAACGACGGAATATTTCCGTCGTTAGTTTGGTGACGGAAAAATTCCGTCGGTAAAAGAATATAATTGAAACGCTGCGTTTTGAGCTGGCGACAGAAAAATTCCGTCGCTAAATCTGTCGCCAAAAACAGATCTAAAAACGGGAACTCCTCTCAGTTTCTCCGATTTCGCAGACAGAAACCACAAAGAGTTTCTAGTTTCGTCTCCTCCGCGACGCCTTCCGCCACCATCATCCACCGGTCGCTGTCCGATCATCTTCTCCGTCCGCCACCATCAACCGCCGGTCGTCTACCCATCTTCCGTCACCGTCCACTTGAAATCTCAGGTTTTATTTTTCATTTTTTCATCTTTTATTCAATTTCAATTTCTGAATTAGTTTGTTTTTAATTATAATTGTATTGCCTACATTAGGGGTTTTTAAGTTAACATATTTTGTTTATTATTACAAATTTAATTTTAATTTTATAATTATTTTAGATTAGGGTTTGTTTTTCAAAATTTAGTCATTTGTTTTAAAAAAAAATTAATTATATTCTTGAAAGTTTTAGTGAATGAATATCGTGCTTATTAATCATTTATATATTGTAACTTTTATATGAGGAATGAATTTATGCTAATTAATTGTTTAATAGCATATTTTGGATATTATTAATGTTATATGAAGATTGTATATGTATTATGTATGTTATTGAATATTGAGGTTATTCCATTTATATTTTTAATGTTTTTTAGTTCTATAATTTAATAGTATGTTAATTTTATTTTTATGAATTTCTAAGAATAGTGACTTTCACAAAAATCGGAATTGGATGTATAAAAGACTTGGTAGTTCTTGTTTTATAAATACAAATTGAGTTGCGCCAAACTTAGATTCAAGTCTGGAATGTGAAATTTGCACATGTTAAAATTTCTATTCAAAATTTCTATTGAATTTCTATTTGTATATTTGTATTAAATGTTGTTAAACAGTATTAGAAGACGGCAAAGTTCTTGGCATCCTCCAAGCAAAACAAGAAAAATCGTCGTGATGGTGACAAGAATGCCCCTGCTAGCGCCACGCACACCGGTGGTCTGTTGTCTTTTCGCGAGTCTCAAGCACGCCTTGTAAGTATTATTAGTAACATTATTTTCACTTAAATGTTTTAACTGACATGTTTACACTTATTTATATATTTTATTGTTTTAGGGTAAAAGTAGACAAGCTTCTGACTTGTACTCTTCGTACACACACACATACGAAGAAACATGATGGGAAGACCTACGTCATTAAGAAGGCAGAAAAAGTATCAGTAAGTGACAATGAATATATGTTGTATATATAAATGGTTAGTTTTCGTTGAATTCAATTGGATGTGAATTCACACTACTCTACTTATTTTGCTTTTTATGTTAACCTATATACATGTATGTTTGGTGTATTGCAGCAAAACTACGTAGTCACGCAGGAGGTAGTTCGAGAATAATGCTTAAATGTGACACGTGACGAGATTTTTATATCTACAGCCGGAGGACATGATGCCAAAAATCGTGTTCATTGTGTTGGAGATCTCGCACGAAGCCTACCATGAATGCATGCAAGTGAGGCAAGACGTGCTAGCACCATCTCTATGTGAGACCCTCGAGATGATGAGATACGAAGGTTGAGAGAAGAGCTAGACGACATTAGAGCTTCCCAAGTGCGTGAACTATTGTCGATTATAGAAGAGATGACCTGATGAGATACGGGGTTTGCACGCGATTGTTGAATATTTTATTAGAATTGAAGAACATTATATTAAACTTAAGTTTGATGGTTATGT